GAGGGGAAGGGGTGCCCCCCCTTAGCGCGGGGAGGAGAGAGAGAGAGAGAGAGCCTCGAGAGCCGGGATGGGGGTCGCCTTTGAGTGCGCGAAGGAGAATCTTCAGTGCGCGGGGGGGAGAAAGAGTTTCGATTTCTCGGGAAGGGGGGAGGGGGTCCCCTCTTTTGCCCTCCACCCTGTTTTCCGTGCGCCAGGGGGGGGCTCCTCTTTGAGCCCCCCCCCGCGGTGGCTTATCGTTTTTTGTTGGATATCACACTTTTTAACTAATGACACCTCTCGTCTTCATGGTTTGAAGAGCTCTCATGGGGTATAGTGGGGCCGTCTCGAGGTTGTGTTACGAGCGTGTGGGGCAGTCTTGGGGTTTGGGGGGGGGCCCTCTTGAGCCGCCTTCGGGCCGTCTTGGGACTCTCTTAGGCCTTTTCGAAGCCCTCTTGGCCGTCTACGGGGTCTCTGGGTACCCGAGGGCAGATTTTGGGCCGTCTTGGGCGTCGAGGGTCCCTCCAAGGCCGTATGGGGTCTTTGCGGAAGCCCGCTTGGGCCAGGTTTATATTCTCGTGGGGTTGGTCTTGGCCGTCTATGGGCCCTCTAGGGCCGTTTTGAGTCCGTCTTCGAGGGTTAATGAGTAATTGTGAGGCACTCTTAGGCCATCTTGCAGCCCTCTTGGAGGCCTCTAACGCCGTCTGGAGCGGAAGTAAGACCGAAAAGTGAAGACGACCGAATGCACCAAAAACCCGCGGGACATCAAAGAGTTCTGCGTTTTCGAGCCCTGCTCGTGGTCCTCCTGTGGTCCTTCTGGGCCGTCTTTGGGCCATGGCGGGCCGTCTTGGAAGCACATGAAATAATCTTGGTGACCGTGGTTGCTTGTCTCGGCCATCTTGGAAGTTTGGCAGCGCGGATCCATTTTGTTCCACGATGGGTCGCGCCCTGAGGAGCACGGATGTATTGTTTCTCTACGGGGCATCGTTGCTCCGGCAACGCGGGTAAATTGTTTGTTGCCAGGGACCGTGGCCTCGGGGATTCGGGCCCATGTTTTCAGCCTGGGGGGCACGGTGGCGGATTTCGCATGCTTTCAGCACTCCGAGGCTGGGCATGATCCATAACCACCGCCTGGGGAAAGTGATAATTACTCGGGACCTCGTCAAGCACAGAGGGCTTGCATACAGTAATTAACCCTCTGGAGATAAGTTGTTTTCTCGCAGGCTGGTACATTCACAGGGATGATGGGCGGATACTGGCACCGAGCTGATGCGCCGTATCATGGGGGATAGACGTACTCTTGCTGATGTAATCGGGCATGCATTGTTCCTGGTGTTCTCAACTGCAGCGGTACTCGTACCGCAGCGCCTTCCATCCGCGACGCCTTTGGCGGCAACAGCAGCATGTTGGATCTGGGTGAGTGATCAGCCCCAATCTACCGATGGCAAGGGGACCACGCATGTTCATTTCATCCTTGCTGGCAGCTGTTCTGCTGCTGCAGGTGGTGTAGCTTGCGGACAGCTTCAATTGCTCATCATCTGGATCGCCTCTGGCCTCTGCAAGTTGGGACCTTGGATGTCATTTGTCAACGGCCCTCTGCTGGGAGGCTCCGTGTGGTTTCGTGGCAGCGAGCCGCTATGGCGTTTGTTATATAGAGGCAGTGACGATTTGCGGCCGACCCCGATCTCAGACCAAGTGAGTCGTCACGCGGCGCATGTCGAATGGATTTGCCCTTTGATGTTGTTTTTCCCATCGTGCCCATGGCTTATCTATTGTAGCCTAGCTGCTCTGATAGCAATGCACACCTACATAATGGCCAATGCTGGCCTCGATGTCCTCTGCTGGAATGGATTTTTCATTTTCGCCAGCCCTTGCTTGTTCGGAGGCGGTGCCTCCTTCGGTTTCGACTACGCGGGACTGCATGCTGCGCCGTGGCTGCTGAAATTATGGTATTCTGCAGAGGTTGCTGTCATTATCTACGGCTGGCTGTATCCTGGCGAGGTGTCTTTCCAGGCAGGACACCGCAACTGGGCCGGCAATGAGCCAGGCGCAATCGTTCTGCTTCGGCGAGATGCGGTCTCGAAATTGAAATCGGCCTTGCCCATGTTCGGCCGTCCATCTTGGGACCCGGTTTCACCGGAGCTTCAGTCTTGGTATCCAGTAGGGGTTGCTGCCCCACATTTGGGCGAAATGGGCGCTTTCAAAGTTGTTGGCGTTTATTGGCTCGGATTCCTGAATCTAAAGATCCTCCCAGCGCTCGTGGAGCGCGCGCTGGGCAAGCGTGGGATTGCGGAGTTCCACGTAATGAATCACATGCAGTTCTGGGATAACCTTTGGGGATCCTTCTTCTTCTGCCCAACTCACATGCTGGAGATTCTCAAGGCCTTGCAGCGCGTCGTGTCTTTTGATGAAGGCGAGTGCGTTTGCGTGACAGTTACAGGATTCCCAGTCGCTGGGCCTAAGTGGGGAGGCGCTGCATGGAAGATCATTGACGCGAAGGCTGGCATTGTTGACGAGGGAGTGGCCTCGCTTGCGACTGCATTGGCAGTGGCCCGACTGCCGTCGGACTGTGCACGAGCCGATCCTCTAATGGACTCTGGTGTGCCATCGTGAGATTTCACATTGCATGCTCTCGAAGAGGACCCGCGTGTTTCTGGCAACGAGCTACATCAGGAGAGCATAACAAATTTGAATTGAAAGTTGCACAAGTCTCCAAGACAACGAAGTGGGTGTAGGATGGTGGCCCAGTCTACCCAGATTGACAGGACATCTAGGATTTTGTGTCTACCTAGGTTCATCAGTTAATCGCTGGTTTCACGCCTGCTGCATCATGGTTGCCGATTGTATCGGTATGTATTCATGAGTGGTGGCGACAGGCCTCTCTGGCGATGTGCATTCTTAGCAGCGTGTAGGGACTGGTGCGGAGAGCAAGTCGGTTCGGAAGTGTTGCAGCGGCGAGATGGCGCCGTGCTTGCCCGGTGTGCTGAAAGATTGTGTTGTTGTTGTTATTGTTGTTGTTGTTGTTGGTGTTGTTGTTGTTGTTGTTGTTGTTGTCATTACCTCACCGTTGCCATTCTTCACCACTCATGAATTGCAGTGTAGTAATCATGTCAGGTCCCCACGCTTGCAAAGAGGGATCGCCCACCTTTCCCTCTTCGGCACATGACGGCCCGCGAGTGGCCCTCTGATTGCCCACTCGTTTCCCCACAGGTTGCCCCATGAGTGGCCCACGCATGGCCAAGTATTGCCCCGCTGACCTGCTGGTGGCCCACTCATGTTGTTGAACCACCGATGGCCCACGAATAACCCGCTCATGGATTTGACCCATTCGAGGCTCATCGGTGACCGACGAATGGCTCACCATGCCATTCCTTGTGCACGATTGCGACGGGCAATGTCACCTGCGCGCAACCAGGTGATCATTATTGTGTAAATTCTTCACGCTTCGCGTGCCCCCACCAGCAGCCTCCCGCGCCATTTTGGCCGCGTTGAGCCCAGTTCCGCTCTGAGCTGGGCGCCGCTCGCTTCGCTGTTTCTCCCTTTGCTTCGGCGCGGCCCGCCTTAGCTTGCACGGCGTTCGACTCGTCTCCTCGCGCCCGCGTACCAAAAAAGTACCCCCACCATCCCATTCAGAAAAGTTGCCCGTGAGCGAAGAGAGACGTATAGTGAACCGAAGCGGGCAACCATGGTGAAATGAGGATGCGGCGGAGGAGGGAGAGGAGGAGGATATGGACGACGACAAGAGGATGAGGAGGAGGAGGAGAAGAAGGAAGAAGAGGAAGAGGAGGACAAGGACGAGGGGGACGACGAGGGCAAGGACGAGGTGGAGGACGCAGGCGAGGACGAGGAGGAGGTCGAGGACGAGGACGAGGACGAAAAGAATGGCGAGGAAGACGAGAGGAGAAGGACGAGGACGAGGACTCTGGCAGCCATCTGGTGGTCGTATCGAGGTCCTCGTGGGGTCGGTCCTCTTGGGGCTCTCGCGGGGCCTTTTCTGGGGTTCTTGCAGGAGGTCTTGGGGTCCTCGTGGGGATCGTTTGGGTGGTATTGGGGTCCTTTTGGGGCTCTCTTGAGGCCCTCTTGGAGCCCTGGAGGGCCTACCGGGGCAGTCTTGGGGGTCATCGATCAAGGGGGGCCTTCGATGTGCCTCCCCCCCATCTGGGGCCCTCAAAACCGCTTCTTGGGGCCCTCTTGGGGCCGCCTGCGTGCCCTCTTTGTCCCTCTTGGGCCATCTTGGGCCCATCTTGAGGCGTCGAGAGCACATCGGAAGCCAAAAGGCGAGAAGGCACACGTCGTTGATTTCCCCATGCTTGGTTGTAGGATGCTGGCCTCTGGGGGGCGGGGGCCCGAGGGGGGTCCAAGAGAACTTGGAAACTTCTCGGGGCCCTCGTCGGGCCCCATCGGAGGTATGTCGGGAGATGCCGTAAGCCATCGTCTGCTATCTTGGACCGCCTTAAGGACCATCTTGGAGCATCGGAGGCCCTCTTGAAGCAATCCTGGGCGCCCTGGCCGCTCGCGGTCCCCCTAACAAAAAAAAACAAAAACAAAAAAAAACAAACTCGAGGAGGGGAGACGGAGGGTATCCCCTCCCCGACGGAGAGAGGGCTTCGGCAGAGAAAATAAAGAGCTCATTAGACCACCTACCACCTACGTCCAGAGGGCTGGTGGGAGCAGCAATGTAAGTGTGCTTCCTGGGCCAGGATGGGCTTGCGCTGTGGTCGGCGTACAGTCAGCGTCCACAAAGCGGAGCGCCGATGAGAATTTTTCAGATGATGAAAAGATCGGTGCGCTTCTCGTCCTGGAGAGCCGTCATCGCCGCGGCTGGAATCTCCTCGACGCTCTGGTCAGAACGCATTTCAGGAGAGATCTGGGGAGTAGGGTATCGGTATCCTGCTGTTCCGCCAATTTTCCAGAGCAGTGAACCATCGGGCTGAGGGCATGGTTTTGAGGGACGGGGAGACACAATTCGCCACGCAGTTCGCCACGCAGCGCATTGATCGCGTGCTTCTTGCCCGTTTGCACAGGCGGAAGAGTGGGCGGGCAAGACCGAGGCCAGGCTGGCAGAGTTGTACAAGTTCTGCGCCAGCGTCATGAAGGACCTCGAGATCCCCCTAGCCTCACCTTGCCCCCTGCAGTGCTCGGAAGGAAAAATACACGAGGCCACTTGAAGCCCACTCTGGGCCAGGTCTATGTGTACACGACCCCCAGGCCTGGACAGGGCCGCAGATGGGCTTGATCAGATTTGGTGGTGGTGGTGTGCACTCCCCCGCCCGCATCTATACGGAATGTGAGGAGGTACCTCTTCTCGTCCGCCTTTCGCTTTTTTCCACCTCTCTCCCTGGCCTCTTCTCAGGCCTGCCATCCCTGTGGGGAGGGGCTCGAAGAGGTACAGCCTGGCGCGCTCTCTACCTCAGGCCAGGTGCCCCCACGGAGCTGTCAGGGCGGTATGTTTTGGGGCCAGTAGCCTGCATTAGACAGTAGACATGGGAGTTGTTTCCACTCTTCCTCTGCCCAGTCCCATCGACTGTCGTTGTACACAATACCTCCTTCCGAAGCTGGTATACCTAGGTGGATCAGAGAATGCAATAACAATGCACGAGCATGCGCGAGCAAACTAGGTGGTGGCAAAGGTAGCCAGTAGATCTGCTGCATGCAGATCTACTGGCTACCTTTGCCAGTAGATCTGCATGTCGCCTTCGAAGCAGCGTGCATCATGCCGGGAGCGCGAAAACAACATGAGTATTTGGCCACTTGACGACGCGCCGGCCCTGTCGTCCACCTGTCATCCATACGTAATAGGCTCGTTTTGCCCGTGTTCGGACAAATCCGGTTGTTTGCGGACCATCCGTTTGGAATTACAGATGTGGTTGAATGTTGAAGAGAAGCGTAAGACGGGAGATCGCCATGTCATGAACATGTTGCCCGCCAGCCAGACACCGATGACCTCGGAAGATTGCGTCCTTGCGGAGCGTAGACGGATGAGTTCATTGATTGCCAACAACACCCATTGGTGTTGATAATGTAGAAGTGCTGAGCTGTTTGCAGTGTGAACAGGTTCGCCAGCATCCAATGTTTGGTAGAGAGTTTCTTGTGCAACCCGCCGTTGGCACCGCCGCAATGCCCAGGCCGCCCTGGCTGCTCTTGGCCCGAGATTTCTTCATCTCCATGAATAAGTGAATGAATGAGGCCGTGTGTCCGTCTGCATATAAACAATGTCACGAGCGTGCGCTTTGCAGTATAATTGCGCAAGACTGCTATTCAGGCTATCGCTGGAAACGCGCCCTCGCTTACGATGTTCAAGCCAGGGTGACACATTGTCGATGTTGCATCTTCTGTAATCATGGTGCCCACGCCAGCCAGGGTCTGCCCCCTTCTCGGCTGCTGGGCGGCCGCATCAATTCGGAAGGGGAACGCTTGACAACGGCCTTCCAGGCAGCGTGGTGTTGCTTGTGCGCGCAATGTCCCCCAACCGAGTCGTCTGGCTGTCGCTGCAGCAAGAGCTCGGTGAGCTTTCTGCGTTGGGCTGGCTGCAAGAGAGTGGCGTTGGAAACGCGACTGAAACATGAACGCAGGAAGGAAGCCTAAAAGTATTCGCAGGCACCGCGCCTGGAAATCGCTCGATCTTGAAAATCCGTGCTGTCGAGAAGCAAAGTGTGAAGGTCATGCTGACGCGTCGACTTAACGCACGCAACGACGATGGTAAGTTTCCTCGTGTTCGGGAAACTTGAATGGCACCAATTGCACTGCAATGCATCGAAGCCCTGATCGGGGATGCCCGATTCGCCGGCTTAGCTCCACACCGACAGAATTTGCGGATTCCAGGAGTTCCCCCAAGTGGTTCATGCTCGTCTTCTCACGATTGGGTTGCCCTCAGGCTTGAGCATAGTAGGAGCATCGCACCCTCTGGTCATGAGCTCGAGAGTCGTCCAAAGTATACTTCAGGCCGCATTGGGTTCTGGCGTCCATCATGGTGTTCCGTATCATCTGCGCCCGAAGTTGCGATAAGCGCATCGCATGCGCATTCCCAAGCGCTAACGCCCAGATGTCCGCGCGCGGCCCCCGCTGCCGAGAAGCTCCGCCAGAGCCACGAGCAAGGAAAGGCTGGCCCGGAAAGGCTGACCAAACGATGCTCGACATCTTCCCGAAGCGGCGCAGGGCGAACGATACCGATGGCGGCAGCCCTACCAGTACCTTTTTCGGCGCATCACGCCACCGTGCCCCAGTCGTACATAAGAGGCCCGTTGGCTGTATGTTAGAGCTTGTTGGAGGCATTTCTGGGGCCTAGTTGGGACATCTGGGGCCTACTCTGGATGCAGGATGCATCGGTGATGCTGCTCGATATAGAGTCCGATTTTCACCAAGCTGACATCGGCGATGCATTGGTGATGAGGCGCGATCCTTCGACCCCATCCATTCGGACCCCATGTGGGAGGCCTCCAGTCGTATCCGCACTTTCCCCTCTCCTCCTTCTCCTGAACTGTCAGAGGCTTCCGCTGACGCGGTCTTCCTTTCTGGTCCAGTTGAGTTGGGATTTGTATAGAATCCGTGCATCGAGTCCTTCCCCTGGGCTGCTTCGTTGAGCCATTTGGCGCCTGCACCCTGATGGCGGAGCCCAGCGCCACTGCCCCAGCTTCCGTGCAGCGTTGTTCGAGAGTGCATCCCGCAGTTGCGCAGCCACTGCCAGGGCTCGGCTTGATGCACGCCGCTTGCTACGGCCCAGCAGCGCGAGGCGGGCGGGCCGCCCCCCATTCCTGTGCCTCCCGAGGGGCCGTCGCGTCGCACCGCGCTGCATCGCATCCCCTGGACAACGGTCGGACGGGGCCAGGACAAGGACAAGTGAGGAGGGGGAAGGGGTAGGGGAGGAGGACGGGGAGGAGGAGGGGGAGGGGGAGGAGGACGGGGAGGAGGAGGGGGAGGAGGAGGAGGAACAGAAGCTGAGCCAGACGTGCTTGACGAAATGTGCCTTGTCTACCCACGGCAAGAGAATGATTGAAGCCCTCGAACGAGGGGAACTCCCCAAGGATTATAAGTAGTGGCCCCAGCCAGAAGACGTTGGCCCCCCACATGCAGTAATCTTCCCCGAGCTATAGTTTAGCTCAAGAGCGCCACCTGTCAGAGGAACTTGGCGCGCAGTTAGGCAAGAGGCAAGAGGAGGAGGAGGAGGAGGAGGAGGAGGAGGAGGAGGAGGAGGAGGAGGAGGAGGAGGAGGGAGGAGGAGGGCCGCGGCGCCCGAGGCATCCTCCAGAGCAGCCAGGCCTCAGAGGTTCTCGGTCTATCCTCGCCCGATGTCATCCTCGTCCCGGCTTCGTCTCGAGTGGCGATCCCGCGCCAGGCCAGGCGACCCCAGTGGGCTTGGGCGGCGGCCCCCGCCGCCTCCCATGCCATGGCGCCTCGAGCTGTCGCGATTGTCACAATTTGTTCCAGGCAAGCTATCCACGGGTGGTCGTTTTCTAGTACACTGTTTTTCCGATCGGCGCGGGGCCTCGCATCCCCCCCCTTGGAGTACGTAAATCTTGGCTGTTCTCAGCGCCTGTTTCGAGAAGGTGGAGTCTCCCACATAGGACGCCCTGCTGCAAACAGTCGCACTAAGCAGAGATCCAGAGCCAGACCCCCAACCCTCCCCCCCCTCCGCTCAATATCGAAACGCCGAATCAGAAAACGTTCACCAGCGATAGTCTGGAGAGGATGGTTCGAAGGATCGATGGTTGAGTTCACTATCGATCCAACGCAGGTTGTATGCTCAAAGGGCCCTTTCCCATTGGCAGCTCGACAGTTCTAGGCAGGCCTCTCCGCAGCCCGCACGACGCCGCGGACCCCTCCTTGCCGATCCCCGTGGCGGCGAGAACCGACACAGACGCCCGAGCATTTCTGTTGGGACGAGGTTGTCGCCCCGTCGTCCTCGTCCCTCCCTCCCCCATCCTCCTCCTCCTCGATCCTCCCCCCTCGTCCTCCATCGAGGATTGCGGAGGACTGAGGCTGAATCCTCCTCAATCCTCCCCCGTCGTCGTCCTCCTCAGTCCTCCTCAATCCTCCCCCGTCGTCCTCAATCGAGGATTGAGGAGGACTGAGGCTCAATCCTCCTCAATCCTCCCCCGTCGTCGTCCTCCTCAACCCTCCTCAATCCTCAATCCTCCTGAACCTTCATCAATCCTCAATCCTCCTCAATCCTCCCCCGTCGTCGTCCTCCTCAGTCCTCCTCAGTCCTCGACCCTCCGAAAGGCCCCCCCAGGGAGCCCTCGGGGGGGTCTCCGGAGGCCTCCCGAGTCCCAAACGGGGGCCGAGAACGTCCGAAGCACGGCTCCTCGATCCGTCTTCTCATCCTCCCCCACCTCGATTCGCGCCCCTCCGCGATCCTCCTCGATCCTCCTCCTCCTCCTCCTCCTCCTCCTCCTCCTCGATCCTCCTCCTCCTTCTCCTCCTCCTCGATTCGCGCCCCTCTGCGATCCTCCTCTATCCTCCTCGATCCTGCTCCTCCTCCTCCTCCTCCTCCTCCTCCTCCTCCTCCTCCAGTCTTTCCTCGTCCCCTTCCAAAGATGGCCGACATCAGAGGAAGACCGCCCGTTGAAAAATCACACTGTCGGAGCTTTGGGATCCTCGATCCTCCTCCTCCTCGATACTCCTCCTCCCCCTCCTCCTCCGCGATCCTCGTCCTCCTTCTCCTCGATCCTCCTCGATCCTCCTCCTCGTCCTCCTCCTCCTTGCTCCTCCTTGCTCCTCCTCCTCATCCTCCTCCTCCTCCTCCTCCTCCTCCTCCTCCTTGCTCCTCCTTGCTCCTCCTCCCTCCTCCTCCCCCTCTCTCCTCCTCCTCCTCCTCCTCCTCCTCCTCCTCCTCCTCCCTCCTCCTCTCCTCTCCTCCTCCTCCTCCTCCTCCTCTCCTCCTCCTCCTCCTCCTCCTCCTCGCTCCTCCTCCCCCTCCTCCTCCTCCTCCTCCTCCTCCTCCTCGATCCTGGACCCCCGTCGATCCTCGATCCTGGAGGGCCCCCTATTGGCGCCAGGAGGCCAAGGGCGAGCTCGAGGCCGCCGAGCGCCAGGGCGCCGAGCTGGCGGCGGCGTGGCGCGCGGAGAGGACGGCGGCCCCCCCTCGGGGCGGCCCAGACCCCCCGAGCGAGGGGGGGTCAGTCGGGGGCGGCCAAGAGGGGGGGGTGAGTTGGGCATTCTGGCCTCCAGTGTAATCGACTACCCCCCTGGGAGCAGTCGACGACTGTGGGAACACGCACTGGAGCTGGGACGGGCAAGCGTCCACTGATCGACCCCCTTCTTCAGGACGTGGTTCGGGTAGGGCCTGTCGCCTGTTCGGAGGCCAGCGCTGGCACTCCCGTCGGCCACGCCCCCTATCAAGGCATGCACATGTTTGATGGGTTTGGGAAACCGTGCTTTGCAGTTTTAGTGAGTCATGCAACGTCACGTGCATCGCACTTTTGGTGGGCCTTTGCTGCGTGCAAGGCGTAGCGGCCGAGCGCCCATGCCAAGGGGTGAGGACTAGCGGGGGGGATGCTATGGCCAGGGGCCCCTTCCCGGATCTCATGCTGTTTCACGTACGCCCCTCGGTCTCCGCGCGGGCCGCGGGGCGCGCGGCGAGGACGGCGGCCTCTCTCGGGGAGGCCCAGACCCCCAGGGTGGGAGTTGGGCACGCCGGCCCCCAGAGTAGTCGACTGCTCCTGGTTCCTCGTTCCTCGTTCCTTCTTCCTCCTCCCTCCCTCCTTCCTCCTCCCTCCTTCCTCCTTCCACCTTCCTCTTTCCTCCTTCCTCCGTCCTCCGTCCTCCCTCCTTCCCCTGCCAACCCGCAGAATGAGGATGGGCAACCTTCCCAAGGGTACCGTTGCATCCCTGCCCCTTGGGCCCATCCTTGGCCACTTTCGCTGGCCAACCTCGTTCGAAAGACGTCCACATGGGCCTCCAAGGCCCTTGCATCATTACGGCACATCCTTATGATACGGGTTGATTGTAGTCGATTACATCCTGGGGGATAGTCGACTACTCCCCACCCCTCCCTGACGGCCCAGACCCCCAGGGTCAGAGGAGGGAAAGGTGCGACAGGTTCGCGTCGTGTCGACCGGCGGCGACCCCGCCGTCGGTGTTCAACGTTGGACTCCGTTGGACGTCGCCGGCCGCACAGATCTGACGTTTCGGAAGCGGCCGATAAATCAAGGGTTGAGCGATCTCCGCGGTGTCAGGAACTAGCGCCAAAGTCGGCACAACACGAATTTGCCCTGCCGATGCTCTAGGCTTCGTAGATGTGGTCCGAGTAATTAGGTGGGGTTGGAGGATCGCGCCGCATCGCCGATGCATCGCACATGCGGCATGCGGCTCGATGTGGAGCCCGATTTCCTCCACGCGGACGTCGCCGATGCATCGGCGGCATCGCTGATGCATCTCCAGTGCATCCTCGAAGAATCGCCGATGCATCGGCGATGCGGCGCGATCCTCCGACCACACCTACTCGGACCCCACGTAGGAGGCCTCTAGAGACCAGATGCCGCCACCCTTTCCTCGTTTTCGCCTGCTGGGGGCCTCCTGGGAGGCCCTGGTCGCCACGGCCAGATTCGCTTCGAAATCCGGGTCAGAACGCACGCTGGTAGCGGTTATCGGCATCGTTCGGTATCGTTTGGTTTCCCCCGGGGATGGGGGGGCTCAGAGCCCCCTTTCTCGCCCTTGAGGAAACCAAACCCACCTTTGAGGGTAACCACCCCCTCGGGGAAACCAAAGCAAACAAACCAGAACAAAACTCTGCGCTGATCTTTCCATTGCTGTGGAGCCTTCAAATCAATGCATAGATCAGCGCAGAGTGTTGTTACCCGCTCTCGGCCTCTAGGGCCCCTCGCCGGTTCTGGGACCGTCAAAGAACAAGTCGGGATGAGAAAACCCGCCTGGAGGAAAGTCATCCGCGCGCAGAAAGGGAGCGCAGGGTGAGGGGGGAAGTCTTCTCAGATAGGAGGAGGCTCCTGCTTAGAACGCGAGGGCCTTATCTACGGATGCAGGTCCAGCCCTCCTTCTAAGAAGCCTTTCCCCCTCCCTCTACCCCCTTGCGCGCGCCGCCAACAACGGGTCAGGACTTCTGGGGGGACCGTGTTGAAGAGGACTTCTGGGGGGACCGTGTTGAAGAAGTCAAGGCATCGGATGTTTGGGGGCGGGGCTCTGCAATCTCTCTCCCTGCTCCGCCCTGCTCCTCCCGCCTGCTCCTTCCTCCTCTCCCTCCCTCCCTCCTACCTGCTCTGCTCCCTCCCTTCTCTTTTTCCGTTTCGTCGTATCGTGGGTAGTTGTTCCTCTTACTCCTCTTCCTCCTCCGCCTCCTCATCCTCTTCATCCTCCTCCTCCGCCTCCGCCTCCGCCTCCTCCTCCTCCTCCTCCTCCTCCTCCTGCTCCTGCTCCTGCTCCTGCTCCTCCTTGCCCATCCCTGCTCCTCCTCCACCTACTTTCCCTGCTCCTCCACCTCCTCCTGCTCCTCCTCGCTTCTCCCTTGCCTCCACGAGCCCTCTGGCGCCGCCCACTTGCACACACGCCGCCGCACATCGACATCAGGATTGATCCCGTCCCGCCTCAGTGCGCACCGTCGGCTCGAGCGGATACGGCAGCACGCCTCCCCGAGGAGGGGGAGGGGGGGACGGACCATGGCCCCATCGCAATCACGAAAAAAAACACGACGGGAGGCTGTCTCCTTGGTTCGGTCGGCCTGTGGGGACCCTCGCCGGGCTCTGGGACCGTCACACAACTATTCATGATGAAACGCGTATTAGACCCCATCGCATCGCGAAAAAAACACGACGAGGGGTTGTCTCCTTGGTTCGGTCGGCTTGTGGGGACCCTTGCCGGGCCCCGGGACCGTCACACAACTATTCATGATGAAACAGCTCCACGCGAGGATGAAACAGGAGAGGCGGGAGCGGCGGAGGAGGCGGAGGGAAAATGTCCATTGTGTAAGCAATGTCCTTCTGCGTCCCCTTCCGTCCGACCCAACAGTGGGGGGGAGGAGGACCCCAAGCCCCGAGGGGGGAGGGCTCCCGCCTCGGCTCTCCGCTGGGGGGGGCCCAAGTCCCGAGAGGGGAGGACCCCAAGTCACGAGGGGTGGGGGGAGGACCCCAAGACCCGCGGGGGGAGGACCCCAAGTCCCGAGGGGGGGGGAGGAAGACACCACTTCCCGAAGGAGGAGGAGGACCCCTAGTTCCGAGGGGGGGGGGAAGGAGGGGGGGAGGACCCCAAGTCCCGAGGGGGGGGAGGGGGACCCCAAGTCCCGAGGCGGGAGGGCCCACGGCGGTTCCCGAGACCCCGCCTCGTCCCTCCGCGGCTCGGGGCCGCCAGCCAAGCTACCCCCCCCCCGCCCGCGACAGCCGGGGGGGGGAGACGCCGACGACAACGACGACGACGCCGACGACGACGACGCCGATTGACGACGACGCCGACGAGGACGGCGACGCCGATGCCGACGACGACGACGACGCCGACGCAGCCGCCGACGGCAGGGGGAACCTAGGATTTCTGGTTGTTCGCCGCGCCGCAGGCTTTGCGCTGGGCGTGCTCCGACTGCTGGGTCTCAGGAGGCCCTGAACGATTAGATAGCGGGAAATATCGAGAGCCATCGTTCAAGACATGTGATGGGCGCGGGCAAGAGGGGGCGGGGGGAGGGAGACCGAGGACGCCAGGGCTCGCCCCCACACCCCCCCCCCCTCGAGGAGCGCAGGCAAGCAGGGTCATACCGACGAGTAGCTTCCCGAGGGTGCCCTCGCATCCTTGCCGCTCGGCCCATCCCCACCCCTCGCTCTGGGCGTCCAACGTCGGCCTCCGCTTGGGCGACCAAGGGCCTTGCATCCTTCCCGTGCGTCCTTGTGATCAGACGCATCGTAGAGCCCGGACGAGCGACGACAAAGAAAACGGATTCGATTCCGCCGACAGTCGCGCGCAAGCTTCTCGCGCAGGGTCGCCACGCGGTTGCCGCGCTGGCGTCCCGTGCAAGCTGCCGCGCAAGGTCGCTATGGCATCTCGCGGAGCCCATTTTTGATGGTCGCTCACCTGTCGACTCGAAAAATCAGGCCGGATGCTCTTCCCGATCTTGCCCTCTTAGGGGGCGCTTGCGGCCCCGTGGATCGTCAAAGACGGTTGAGGATCCACAGCCGGCCCCCGAGATTGGTTGGGGAAGGGCATCCTCGCGCCACGCCTCAAGGGAGGAGGAGGAGGAGGAGGAGGAGGACCCGAGTCTGGGACAAAACCACCCCGACCCCCATTTCTGGTGTTTACTACACGGTCCTGGGCATTTACTAAACAGCCCAGTCTTGTTGGAATTCTGAGACTGACTGCCACTCGGCCACGCGCAGAGGGGGGTAGGGGGAGGAGGGAGGGCATCTCAGAAGCGCCCCTGCTCCTCAGAAGGCGCGGGCCTTATCTGTACGTGTAAGGCTGGCGCCTTTTGAAAGCAGCCTCCTTCTAAGAAGCCTTCCCCCTCCCCCAACTGCCTTGTGCGCGCCGCCAAGACTGATTGCATCGACTCCCGAGGGAGACGCTCGGCATAGCGGCAGTAACTCGTGAATGCAGCCCTCCTCCCGAAAAAGGCGTGGCCTCCTCGCGGGTTCCCTTGAACCATGGGGCAAACGCTATCACGGCAGTCGGAGAGGAAGGCCTACTCGAGTCTCGAGAGGAGGAGGAGGAGGAGGAGGAGGAGGAGGAGGTCTGCCTCAGCGAGAACACCAACGCTGGCAGGCTGCCTCAGCGATAACACCACCGATGGCAGCTGCAGATCTTGATCTCGCGCTCTGCCCTGGACTTCGGTTTTGTGTTTCGCCCTTCCTGGCGGCACAGTGCCGCCAGGGAGTTTGATCCCCCCCTGGCGGCAACGACTTCTGCGGGAAAGGGGGGGGGATGGCTGCGCCGCTTGACGGCCCAGAAGCCAACAGCAGGCAACAGGAGGCGGAGGTAGCAGGAGGAGGCTTCGAGGCGCTAGGTCTCCTCCCCTCCCCTCCCGCCTGGCCTGTCGCGTCCCTCGCCCTCCTCGCGCCCCGCCCGCCTGCCCCCCCCCACACTTGGAGGGCCGCGCTGGAGCGCCGGGCCGCGGAGCTGTCATCGGCGCCCAGCTTTGGGGGGGGGCAGGACGGCCAGCAGGAGGATCAAGGATCGAGGATAGGATCGAGCAGGAGAAGGAAATTCGGGAGCCGGAGGAGGAGGAAGAAGAGGAGGAGGAGGAGGACCGAGGGTCGAGAATAAGATCGAGGAGGAGGAGGAGGAGGCCAGGAGCAGGTGACCGACGGTCGAGGAGAGAAGAAGATCGGGGAGGAGGAGGAGGAGGTCAGGAAGATGGGGACCGAGGATCGAGGACACGATCGAGGAGGAGGAGGAAGAAGAGGAGGAGGGAGAGGATAAAAGATTGAGGGATCGAGGGCCAGGGTGCTGGGTGTGTCCTGGCCATTTTTTGGGGGTCTCCAGGCATCTGCAGGGAGGCGGGGGGGAGGCCAGGAGGAGGAGGACCGAGGATCGAGAGAGAATGACCGATGATCGGGCGATCTGGGGATGAGGGGGACAAAGGTCGATGGAAAAGGTCGAGGTCCCTGGCCGTTTTTGACATCTCCGGGGTAGGGGGGCTGGGGGCGTCCGCAGGGACCTCACATGGCGGCCGCGGGACTGGGCAGAGGGACCAGGGGGGGAGAGGGGGGGAGCGGCAGGGGGGGGGGCAAGGGGAGGGAGCGGCAGGCGGACGAGGGAGGAGCACGCGTGACTCGGCCAGGAGAGCGGCACCATGAGCGGGGCGGCGCGGGAACGGGGAGGCAGGGCAGGGGGACACGGGGAGGGGAGGCAGGGGGAGGGGAGGGAAGCGGAGGGGAGGGAGGGGGATAGGGAGAGTGGTAGGAGGAGGAGTCAGATAGAATCCGATGCAAAAAGACAGAGACGCCCCCCCAAAAAAGGGGAGAAGGGAAAGCAGAGGAGGCAGGTAGTTGGAGCAGCCCGGCGGGGGGGGGGAAGACGGCGCGCGCGGGCCCCTGGCCGTACCAATCCCACCAGCGGGAGTCAATGGGGAGGTGGCCAAGCGCTCTCGGATGGCGCTCAAAGCTGCCGTCCCTTCGGACCCCTGGTGCACAAACGAGGACGACGACGACGACGACGCGCCGTGGCCGGCACTTGGGGGCTCCGCCTTACCGCCCAGACTGGCAGTGGCTCCCCCCTTGGCCTACGTCCGGTGCAAGGCCTCCTGGGCCGCATCCTCATGCTGGGCCATGCGTATAGATTTCGCGGGACACATGTGCGAAGGATGCAAGCCTTCGAGTACGCGCGCAAGGAGAGGGCGGGCCCCAACAGTTTAACAAATTCAACGCGACATGGAGTCCACAATTCCTGCAAACGTACATCCGCCAGCTGGAGAAGAAGAGGAGGTCGTGAGAAGGGTGGGCGGCTTGCCCACGCTGCGTGGTTCCTGTGGCCACGACGCTCCCTGGGAAAGAGAAACAGACCCTTTTCGTTTGAAAAGGGTCGGTTATGCTGCAAGGGGCCCCAAGAAGAAAGCCTGGCGGGCCTGGGCAATCCGTCGTTGCCTGCTCGAGCAAGCGGCAATCATCCACGAGAACGCGACAGGCTGAGCACCGCCACTTGTCCGCGCTTCGTTCAAATCGATAGGAGGAGGACGAGAGGGCGGAGGCTCTGGCCGATTCGAGGAGGGGACGAGGAGTGGAAGGCCGCGCCCCTCTCGCTGAGGAATCATGCGAGGGCCGCAACCGTGTCCCATTCATCTGCGAGCGGGGGTTCGGATGGGGCGTTGCCACCATTTTGCCGCTCCCCCGGCGGCCCACTCGTCGGCGCGCGAAATTGCCCCGGGTGAAGAACGGATTCGCAATGGGCCCGGGCGCCTCGTCGAGGTGAAACGGGGCCCACTCGATGGCTACATCGCGTCCCGCGTTTGCTCGCATTGCCCTGCTGATCCGAGCCCACCAATCGCGACGTTGATATCGGGCGCCTCCTCTGGGGGCACGGGTGGCCCAACCAGCTCGCCAGCTTTCGACCATCGTGAGGGGGCCGTCCGGTCGCTCGAGTGCGATCACCGGCGCCGCGAGCTCGGCCTTCGGCACGGCTCGTCGTTTCCCTTCGAGCGGCCCGAACATTCCAGCAAACGCACTCCAGGAGCGCATGCCGTCAGGGATAGTGGACGACGGCCCAGCCCCACCCACGCCTCCCAGGGTCTTCCTGGAAGCCGCCCCCGAAAAACAAGAGTCGATTAGTCTGGAGGTCGCGGGCAGCTTCCCCAGACGGGCGCCCGCTCGGGCCCTCCGGAGCGGCCGCAATCCCCCCGCCCCCCCCCCCCAAGGCTCGAAGGAACGCGATGCGCAGGAGAGCCGGAGGAGGCCGCGGAGCCACAGACTAGGGCCTTGCGCGAGACCAGCAACGGCACGGGGAATGACGCGCTCCGTCTCGGCCATCTCTGGCCCGCGGCTAGCAGGGCACAACCAGGTGCGGCGGGCGAAGTCCTCTTGCCCCAATTGGCATCGCTCGCAGAGCCTCGAGGCCCGACAACCCACCTAAAGAGGCGCTCGCGAGGCCACTGACCTCCTGAGATCACGCAAATGCTGGGTGCCTGGGGCGATATGTTTCCTCGTCGCAAGAACCTGCGCTGCTCCATCCTGACCACACGTAGGTCAGCTCCTCCCTCGAGCACCTCGCCGCTCATGGCGAGAGGCGCCCTCCCAGAGTCGACTCTGCAGATCATCGCCGAAGTCCGAGACGACGTCCGTCGGATCGAGGCCGCGGAGCTCTGGATCGTCGCCTGACAGCCTGCAATCTTCAAAATATGCACCGCGAACGCGCTGCCAGACGTCGGCGGCTCTGGGGCCCCATCCAGCTTCCAACGAGGCTGCTATAGCCGCTGCAGCGGGCCCAGTGACACATGACCACATCCGAGGGCCAGCTCTCACCAGCGCGGCGCGCAAATATACGGGTGGCCAATGCAGAATTGCACCCGTTCGCGACGCAGTCGCGGGCGCAGTTGAATTGCGGGGCCCTCGCCGCCGGAGTTGGCGCTCAGCAGGGTGGCGAGGCAGCGCCCGACAGCCTGGCCCGCCGTGGCCCGCGCTGCTCGTCGTCGCCAACGTAGGAGAGCATGTCTGACGAGCCCGCGAAGCCAGTGCCCGTGGTCTCCTCGAGGCAAGGCCCCAGTTGCCCAGAGACCTCCGATAGCCTGGCCCGTCGAGCTGCGCGTCTCATCCGCGCGATTCGCCTCGCGCGCGTCGTAGCGGCTGAGGCCGCGCACCTCGGTTCGAGCTCGACGGGCGCCTGCAGCGGCGTCGACCCCGAGGTCGGCGGCCGCCGTGGCGCATAAGATTGTGGAGTCCATGTTGATGTAGTTCTCGTCCAAAGAGCGCCTGGGCTCGCGGTCACTGGCGAGGAGAACTGTCTTGCCCGAGACAGAGCGCCCTGCGACATGCCAGGCTTGCTGGAGCTCCTGGACGGCAGCAGTGACGGCCGTGCAAACCCGTCGCGCCGCGCCCCCTGCTCGCGCACACGCGTTGAAGAAGTCCACAACGCGGGCCCATCAGCGCGTCGCTGCGGGCGCGCGAGGACGGGGGGCAAGGAGAGCCCGGGCAGCGCGGTGCCCCGCGGGGGGGGGGCCACGACGGCTCGCCAGGTCTCGATGGGCTCGGAGGCCCGGCCCCGAGAACGAGGCGCCCGAGGCGCCATAAAGAGTTGGACCTCCACGCCGAGGACAATCGCAGCGAGGTTCTCTTGAAGGCCGTCCTCGATGAGCTCGCCCAGTTGCGGGCGGTCGTAGAACTTTTCCAAGTCCACGAGCAGCGCGGCGACAACGACGCCCGCGAGGGCGGCGGGCTCGCCCGGGAAAGCTCGGCGGAGAGCGGCAGCCAGCGGCGAGGGGCCGCGCGCGGCCGCGCGCCAAAGTCGAGCAAGCCGTCGTTCCACACGTCGCAGACCCCGCCTCGCAGTCGGCCCCAGATCAGCGCGACTTTTGGAAGTGCCCCCAGCACGCGGTCGCCTCCTTATTTTCTTGGGAGCCATGGCCGCGATGGTCACGTGGACCTGGGGCAGCAAGATGGCGCGGTTCTCGATGCCGTTGAGGAGGTCAGCGCAGCGCTGAGGGGCTCAGTCAGCTAGTCGAGGAAGGACTCGCGGCCCCACCGCGTCCACGCCGATGGCCTTGCTGGGCGGCACGGCGCGCAGATCCGCGGCGAGGTCGCGAAGCTCGAGACAGGAAGGGCCCCTTCGAGGGCGCGGGCTCTGGCCCTGCCAATGGCCAAGCTGACCTGGTCGAAAGACCTGCTCGAAGGAGTTCGATGGTCTCGTCATCTTCGTTGGTGGCTTGGCGAAGCGCAGCCAGTGCGTGATCTCTTCCCCGTCAGTCTCGGGGAAGAGCAGGCCGAGTTTGGCGTCGACGTTCGGCGGGCGTTCGTTCAGCAACTTTGATGGCGAAGCTGACAGGGTCGAGGTTGTCCTCCTGCCCGTGGAGGGCGACCGCTTCCCCGATGAATGTGCGCGCGCTGACCCGCCACTCCGCCTCCCCGTTCTCGATGCGGGCGCGGCCCGGTGATGCCGCGGCCTTCTTCCAGCTGAACTTGATCGGGCTGACGCGCCCGACGCTCTGCAGCTGGTTTTCGTCGGCGACGCCGCGGCGCCAGAGGGCGGCGCGCTCGCGCGCGGGGGCCCAGACGGCGCGGGCGTCGCGAACATGAGCAGCTGGAGCAGGGCGTTCACGATGAAGCGGGTGAACCGCCAGTGTCCAAGTTGGCCGCGAAATAGAAGCAGGCGCCGTTCGTCGGCCAGACCTCGTAATCGAAGAAGTTGTTGGCCGCGCAGTCAGGCGCCGTTCTCTCCAGCGATTCCCTGCGACAGCCGTCGGGGCAGGACCGCTCAGCGCGGGCGCTCGCAACAGGGCGCGGTTCTTCCGGGGCTGGGGGCCGTGCAGCGGCGGCCCGACCCGGGCGCGGGGTGCCGCAGCCGTAGGCGCCGAGTCAAAAGCCGACCCCTTTGGGTTGACAAGGACCGGTTTTCCTGCGTCGGATGTCGGGGGACCCGCGGTCGCTGAGCTCGGGACCGCTGGCGTCCAGGGGGTTCAGGCGGGTGGCCCCCCGTTGTCG